GGCAATTCTAAGGCGCAAATGGCTTGTACTTATCACAACCCAAAGCAGACATGCAATCATGGAGCCGGATCGAATTCGTCAAAAAATTGCCCTTTGCGCAATCCGTAAGTGTAGCCGGGTGAGTCAGATTCGCTGACTTTGCCGACAACTTCTAGGTCTGCCCTTTTTATCCCCTCTCCCCTCTCAACTATTTGAATAATCGTATGCCATTTCGCCTACGGAAAGAGCAACACAGCCAAGGCCTCGACATCGACTCAACCGCTTCAATGCACAATTTTGCTTTCATCGGAAAGAACTCTAGTCGACTTGCATGCCAAGCATAAGGGCAGAGATTTTTGTTGCCTCATGAAACTATTTAAGACTGCTCAAAATGCGTGTCTTAGATCACGATATCAGCATTTTCAAACAGTTGGCCAAGTCATTCTGCTTTGAAAAAAATCAGATGTTTCAACAAGCGCCTACGCGCACATTTATCTCTTTATATTAGGTTGTCCCGAAAGTTTTGTCGGTTTCTTTCATCGCTCACTAAAACTCATGGAACACCAATTCATGAACGGCTTATGCACCATTTGATTCAGTTTTTTATCCTCTTTCTTAAAGTCATACTTGCTCTCTAATCTGCCCTGTCTTAGCGATGTCATCGCCATGGCTTTTTGAGCAGCTCAGCAATAACGCCAAATCTTTCCTGAATTTTAAAAATTTTTATTCTGATGTTTTTAAAGAGCGCTGGTAGCAGTTATATAGAGCAAACCTTTGGCTACATTTTACCTAGTTTAGATTACATGAGCCGCGTTTACCAAGTCGTTATAATTATTTATTCAGTAAAAACCGCGGCTTTTTGATTAAGTTCAACACGTAAAAGTACCACAAATTCCAAAAAGCTGCTTTATCGAAGCGAATCAAAGCTGGTAATGTTGCATAAATGATGTTTAGTAAGAAATATGTTTCAATACGCAGAAACTTCAGAAGCTTTTACGTGTTTTATGCAGTTGCGTGTTTCGTGACTTTCCCAAAAATCGAGATCTCCGGAGATATAATTTTTTTGCAGCTAAAATCAGCAGATTAGGAGAATCTAAAAATACCACTTGTAGTTCGAGAATTGCTTTATTTGGTACATACTCAAACTTTTTCGAAGCTTGAAAATGAAATTTTTGAAAATTAGCCTAACTTTGAGCAGACAAAATTAACGAGTGGAGAATTTTGGCAATTATCGAAAAAAGCGTGCAAGATTCTGGGACGAATATGTATCCTTAAGACAGAGAAGGAAAAGCTGCATCGAATGCAGGTTAAAACTCACTCAGATCTTCAATGTGCGTGGTTTTACAGTGATTTGAAAAAACCGACAAAACTTTCGGGACAACCTAATATTTGCCCTTATCTCGTTCGAATTCTTTCTGATGAGTTTGCTTTTTCTCACACTTTTTTCATCCACTCTTATCTCGGTCTTCTAGAACGATTGCAAAAAGTTTATTGTAAGCAGCCCATTCTTCCAACTTCTCACCGAAATGGCATTTCAAACTAATTTATTGCCTTTCTAGTTTTCAGACCAGCTTTCTGCTCAATGTCCTGTCAATTGCTATATATAACTCAAGTCTACCGTTTCCTACACCATGATTTTTTTTATGACAAAAGATTTTGAAGAGCGAAATCAACGTACAATGGCACACTCATGATTTAACTCATTATTATTGACGAGTGCTCTTGTAAACAAAAATGTGAATTGTTCTTCGATAAGAAGATGATAGTCTAGGGACTGAGCCGATGATTTTGTTTGAAGAAAAAGAAGGAAGGGGATATTCTCCAGAGGCAAACATTGCTGCATGAATTTGAGCTTTACGAAAGTGAAATAGGAGAAAAGTATTGAATTCCAATACTGCTAAAGAGCTTGGCTCTCCACATGCCAAAGCTAAATTTCTCCGCTTGCATACAGTTTACATGATAGCGGTGACGTCAGGCTTTTGAAAGAAGGTCGGTCCAAGCAAAAATAAAGCGCTGTCATCTCTCCCTCCACACCTCCCCCTTCTTCCCTAAAAAAGGACTTGTAACCTTTGATTCAACTGGCTTTGCTGCTGAGGCGAGGCTTTGTGATCTATCAAGGCCGCTCGCGCCCGCGACGCAGTCTGCGTCTCTCCAGCGCACGTGTTCTTTGACCATTACCTAGCCTTAATCAAGTCACGAAGCCCCACCTTCTAGCCGCCAAGCCAGTAGATAAGTACGCCTTTAGCAATTAGCTTCGGTGAACGTCTTCACCGCTGTAAATCCCTTAACAAATGATTAACCTTGCCAAAAGTGCATCTTTTGTGAGAAGTCAATGGAGCAAAGCTGACCCGCAACCCGCCCTTCCCCCTCCCCCTCCCCCCCCCCCGTCCTTCAACTACAAATAGCTTTGCTTCTGCGGTTGCTCATTCGGAATTTGTGGTTTTTTGTTTTGTTCACATTTTTCTGTCTTGCAAACTCAAAGCTGAGCTTTTCCTCGAAATTTTCGGACAAAAATGCTCATACTTAGAAAATGACGCTCAGCAGACTATAAAGATATTCATTTGCAGCCGTCAAAACCCCTGAAACTTTGTGCTATTCGAGCATTGACCATTGCTCTCCGTTACGGTAGGATTACGGTAGAACTTCCAACACCTTACTAAGTCATTTACTACATTTCTGGCTCTCAAAGATTAATGATGCAAACCCTAGTCTCTACGGTTTTCTGAAGTAAAGAACTATTGATAATCCGTTCCCTAGCGCAGAAACCTAGGAGAAATTTTATGAAATTTTCACAAACTTCGCAGACTTTCTCACATTCCGCAGACAAGCTGCAGCAGCAAAGAGCATTTCAACCTCTCAGACATTTACATCTTCTTGCAAATAATCTGAAGAGAACTACTTTGCCAAAATTACTCCCAAAAAGAAAAATATCCTTCGATAATAAACGGCTAAGCACAAGTCGAACATAAAACTGACTCATTTGGTCTCTATAGAGTTCTAATCTGTTTCTTTCTTCAGAATTACTTCCTCCTACTTAAATAATGAAGTTCCAAGCAATTGCGTCTTCCAACTGCTCCTCAAAGCAATTTCGAGTAGCTTTGTAGAAAGATGGAATCCGCTACTTTTCTGTCTCATAATGAGCTTTTAAGCAATTTCGGGAGGGCCTCAGAAAAAAGCTTCTTTCTTCGCAACGGAAAATGAAAAGCCTTCGGAGGCAGTGCACTTTCTTGAACTCAATGAGGCAGAACCTTTTCCCATTTTTCCACGCCAAAGAAGACTCCATTTGCTGAATAGAACTTTAATTTATTTTCTGAATCAATTCTCTCAGCTTCAACTTCACCACTCCACTAAAAAACTGAGTCACAAAACCACATCTAAGTACCCTTTATGTTACTGAAAACAAATTGAAAACATAGTCCCCACATAATTTGTGCTCATTCATGCAAAGTTCCGCACTCTATATGGAAACGCTTGTGACATGTCCCCGGCGTAATTGCTTCGCATAACCCGGGAGTTTGTCAGGTTTGATATACCAGATCATAGATCTTACATAACCGAGTATCGCTTAACCATGCATGTCACATATTCGTCGTACCACAGCCCATACATCATCGTAGTTGTCAGCTGAATTTTTAACGCAGACAAATGATGTGTATCTGCCTATGGCTAGGGGTGGAAGCCAGAAGTGGGAAGGGGGGAGGGAGTGAAGAAAGAAAGAGTCTGCTAGGATAAGATGTGTACAAGTGGAAGTCGCTATCGTAATCCTACACTAAGACCTGACATCTCTTTCGCTCACCTTTCTAGTTCTATCGTTACCATAGTAGGATTTGCAGTTTGTAGCAGATTACCAAAGCTCTCCATTACTGTAGGATTACGGTAGAAAGACCACATTGAAGCCTTGTAATTTTGCGAACTTGTGGAAAAGAACACAAATTTGTTCCTTAACCGACCTAAAGCTATCCGATGAGAAATTTAAATTTCCAGATATTTGAAAGAACTGCTGCTACGGTATACTTCTGACCGAAGAATCAAGGTAGAATGCTATTTGTATGCGATCAGCAATTGTGTAAGCCAGTTGACAAAGTTCACAAATTTTGTACGTTTTTTTTTTCTGGGAAAATGTCTCATACTGATCTAATCCGCCTGGTATTACCTACCGTAATCCTACAGTAACGAAATTCTAGCTCTAACCACACTAAACAATAATCAGTAGCATTCGGTTGAAATTTTAACCCCACCTCTGTAGCTATCCCATCTTTTATCCGTATATAACGTTGAGCCAAGCTCTGTGTGCGCGAGTCGTTTATGAGCACAATCGAAATTGCATTCGCGCACGGGACTCTATTCGATTACCTTACACGCTCACAAGCCGTCCACAAATTCGACATCCTCTTCTATTCCCGGTCGGACGAAGACGACCATGACGACATCTCTTGTCATCTCGACTTTAGCTAGCCGAAACCTCATCGCAATCATAGCGCACCCCGCTTTCTATCTTGAGTGAGACTTGGATAGATAGGAAATAAGAAGGGAGGAAGGGGGAGCGTAAGGCGGGGGAGTATCTTGTTTAGCAGTTCTTTGTTGACATCTTGAAAATCCAAGAATAGAAGAAGAAACAGGAAGTTTTGACAACAAAAGATGGAAGAGAAAAAAGGTAGAACAGAAGGAAAGAGGACGGAAAATGAAGGCAAAGGAAAAACTATAGACGATTAATCGCAGGCAGAGACTGGACGTCTTTGCAACCAAGTGAGATAGTTTATGTTCGGAAGAGACGCAGACGGTGAGAGGGATGATAGTGCAATCTTTTAAAGAGGCGCCGACGGCGTACGTAGGCGAACTGTCTCTGCGTGCGATGACTCTACTTTATCTAAATGCGTGCCAGCTTCACTTGCAAGTAAAAAAAATCAAAAGGACCTTCCCCAGTAACGACTCACCATTGAAAATGGTGACATGGCTATCTAAGTAAAAACATTAAAAAAGGCAATGTTTAAGAAAAACAAAACGATATAATACAACCATACCTTGCTCAACAATTCCTCCTGACGTCGTCGCCGAGGCTTCCATTCTTCTTCGGCTCTGCAAAAAATTGTAGTCAAGTCAGCAGACATCAATGTTTTGCCATTCATTTCACGTCATTCATTCATTCAATCACGGCTAATCTACTTTCGTGCGCTCCTTTCAGGATCTTATCCTGCTTTCTGATTGCGCGCCTTCACTTCAGTTCACTCATTCTGGTTGAGATGCTTATTTCAAATGGGGTTGGCTAAATACGTTCACGTGCATCTAGCTTAGTCAACTGCGTCATTCCACAAGCTTTTGGTCGAGCTTACGTCTCACGCACGTCAGTGTTTTGGAAAAAATCATTGGAAAGAAACATTTCAATGAGCTTGACTGTAAATCTACTTCTTCTTATTCGAATCTTCCCACTTTCTCGTCGAAAAGCCATCGTCAAGCCAACTGACGCGAAAATTGGTCCCGAGGGCTCCCAAAAGACTTAATTATAACTACATCTCTTATATATTTGTTTGTTGAATATCCCCTTCTCTATATCAACACATAGTCCATTCAACACGGAAAACTATTCTTTGAAAATAAGTGATATCCGCTTAAAGCTACACTACTGCTCTACTAGACTTCACTGACGACAACATTTGCGCGAAAACATTGTGTCTGTGGCTGGCAACTTGCTTGTGACTAGCGCGTAAGAAATGTCCGTAAAGCGGACCTACAGTCGTTACGCGCAAATGCTGTCGGCAGTTTCATGGGCGCCAAATCTACTGAGCTACGCGTTGTATAATGATGTTATTTGTGAAGAAAATTTCAGGCGGATCTTTTAAGAAGCTCAAGCATTAGGAGATAAATTTTTCACTTAGTTCATCTCATGATGATTGTCATGACCTCTTAGAAAGATAGAGAACAGGCTTGTGAGGACATTTCCAAATAATTATTCTCTCTTGTCGAGCAAAGCTTCAAAAAATAAACACGTAATAATTCTGCCAGAAATGTATGCCGACATTCTGCTTGATGTTGACACTGTCCCCAAGAACGCAAATATTTTCAACACAATTCGAAACTCGCATCTTCTTTTCATTCACTCTGCAAAGCTATCGATTTTCTGTACGTTTTCACATTGTGTTGACATTCAGAATTCATATGCATTATTTTTTCTAAAACATCTATATTGACACAGCTAAATTCTATTCAATGCTATTCGCAAAAATCTGTACTGCTAGCATTTCCACCAGAATCTCTTTCAAGCTATATTCGAAGCTTTTCCACAGCGAACGATATCCAATTGCATGCGTCTATAAAAGCGAAAACAAAACACCCATGGTATCAAATTACTAAGACAAATCGACCTCGATCGATATTTAGTTGACTCGCTGAAGACGTACTGCACATTATTGCATACTAGTCTCGTCTATTCGACAGTCCGGTAGATCTTCCAGCTAATATGGTGCGCTTGCGGTGCTTAGATTGGGCGACCAAATGCCAGTGATGCCTGCACTTTGCGCGCGCGAGTGGCCGGCATCACAAGCGGAGCTGTTTGTTCAGGCGCAAATTTGGTTGCCTAATTTCGGCACGCAAGCACACTCTTTGAGCAGAAAATCGTACCTCGAGAGATGGGATAAGTGAACAAATTATGCAATGATGCGTCTATGCGTCGGAGCACTTTTAACCTGTAGATTTGATAGCCTAATGCTCCTGTGATGATGACAGGACCTGCGCTTGAAGAGATTGCTATGTTTGTAAAACTAGCTATTTGCGCGTGTTAGATGGCTGTAAAGCACACATTTCCAAGCTCTGCGTTCCTGGCAATTTGTTCACGCGCAAATCTTGTTGACACAGAGTCACTAAACGAACTGTTCAATTTTTTAGCCTCTATTAGCCTGTATAGATGTATTAGGTTGTCAAGAAAATAATGTCGTTTTTTATTTGCTTGCTCTAACAAATCAACCACACTCAACCCAATAAAGGGTAATGGGTATTGTTCCATAGAGCAAAGCAATCTCTACAAGATGGCGTTCATGATTTTGCGCCAAGCTCGATCCACGGATAGCACATTGACGACCTTGACACACATGGTGTGTCAAGCAATGACTACCGCTTGGGACCGCTTGACGCACCATGTGTGTCAAGGCTTGAATTTTGTTAAAATAACTACTATACTTTGATAAATACACCCCACGAGCTTTCTTCTGCATTGAGTCTAGGGATAACCTCTACCGTTATTTTCAGTCTTTCAGATCTACTGTAGGTGTACTGTAGATGGCTGTATGCGTAATTACAGTTGAAAAATGCGGACTGGTCCGTAAGAGGCCTTGGTCCCAGAAGGCAGACAACTAAAAATCTGCATGGTCGTCAATGTGATAGTTCGAACTCAAAATCTGAAGATTTCCAAATGCCCAAAAAATCGAAAAAAATCAGATCTTCGTCCACATAATTTCTACGGACCTCCCACTCGCACACGTCAACACTTTCGATATCTGATATCCATATGTGCAGCTGCTGTACTTTTTCCTTGACTAGAAACTGAGAAAACGAACATTTTCGTGTTTTTCTAAAAGCAATGCTGAGCCGTTCTTGCATATATGATTCTATACTACAAGCTTAGGTAAGTATGGCTATAAATTTTCAGCCTATTCCGAGCGGTAGTTTTCGAGAAATGTCGCTTTTAGCACTGAAACTGAAAAGAAGAAAGCTGATTTTGATATTTCTCGAAAACTACTGCTCGGAATTGGGGTGAAAATCTATAGATACACTTACCTAAGCTTGAAGTATAGAATCACATATGCAAGAACGGCTCAGCATTGCTTTTAGAAAAACACGAATATTTCCGATTTCTCAGCATCTAGTCAAGGAAAAAGTACAGCAGCTGCACATATGGATATCAGATATCGAAAGTATTGACGTGTGCGAGTGGGAGGTCCGTAGAAATTATTTGGACGAAGATCTGATTTTTTTCGATTTTTTGGGCATTTGGAAATTTTCAGATTTTGAGTTCGAACTATCCGTGGATCGAGCTTGGCGCAAAATCATGAACGCCATCTTGTAGAGCTTGCTTTGCTCTATCGAACAATACCCATTACCCTTTATTGGGTTGGTCTGGTTGATTTGTTAGAGCAAGCAAATAAAAAACGACATTTTTTCTTGACAACCTAATAGATTCTCAAAAAATCAAAAAGAGAGGCAATCAGTAGCAAAAGCAAGTATAAAAATCTTTATGTCGGCAATTTTAGCTTCATATGAGAGAAAGAAGAGAATAATTTCTGTAAGGATGTGCATTATGTGTGCATTTTCTCTCTAATATCTAACATCCAAAATCTAACATCCACTTACAAAGCTTATTTCAAAAAAGAGGAGGAGGCGGGGGGGGGGGGGTAGTTTGAGAATATACCAAGTCTCAAACGAGCGTTTTTCTGAACTTCAAAAAGCAACGTTACCTTCAATTCACTTATTCGAAAGTGATTTGAAGTGGGACATGCAGAAAACAACTGCGCATTCATGCACCGGTGCAAGCATCTCAACCTCCCCCCCCCCCCCAACCCCTTTCCCGTACTCTTCTCACCAAAAAAAAGAACCAACGAGTGAAGGAAGGCACTGTAAGCCTGCAAGAGCGTCGACATCTGTTCGTGTGAATAGTGCATGTCGTGTAGGTGCACTATTCACACGAGAATTGACAGTATGTCGTGTTCACTGCAGACTCGCTAATTCCAAAGATAAATTTTGCAGATGCATAAATTTCGTACTCTCGCAACATCTCTGAGCCTTTTGTTGTAGTCAATTTCGACATTCTGTGTCAGATGGTCTGCTGTCAGCTTATAGTCATCTCAGTATACACACTTCGAGGACGATTCTGAATTTGAAGTGGAGCAGCAGAGTTGCGATAGAGCACGGCACCTTCGGCAAATTAAGATGAGAGTTGAGCATGCCGTGCTCTAAGGCAATTCTACTGCTCCAGTTCCGATTCAAAATCGTCCACTATGTGTCTGTTTGGATAAGGACGACTAAACAAAAAAGCCGTTTATTTGGCACAAGTTGTGCAAATGCTACCATGAATAAAACTTCGATTTTCTCGATGACATTGGCAATTTTTTCTGAGTGCGCATAAAAAGTTTCGACACAAGTCAAGTCTTTGACATCTGGCCGGGCCCACTTGCCCTAAGTCGACAGCCGGAAATCGTCGCTCGCTCAACCGAAGAAAAAGACCGAATCGACTAGCCACTGTTGATTAGTCGAGCATGACTGGCAGACGTCGTTTCTTTTCCCTTTGCACATCACGTCCGACGGGGGAACATCTCAATCCACCATTTTCTCTTCTACTTTTACATCTTTCCGCCCGTTCGAAGACTTTATGACAGCCAAAATAGACACCCAAGACGCTTCAGCAATGGAAAACCAAGAAAAAACCCATTCAATAGATTACGGTAGCATATCCTAATTTCACTTCTGCACTTTCAGTCTGAAATTGCTAGCTTCGCTTAAGTCTCCAGTTGATGCAGTAAACCTACACACAATTTCTCTTCCAAGCAATCAATAGATATGGATCTCACGCATATCGAATGACATCGTAGACATTGTCCTGTTTTTATTATAGACTTATCCTGAGATATTCTCACGTACCCGGCCCTGGCGATCCTTATATTTCAACCACCAGCTGTCAAAGCATGCGTTTATAGCTAAGTAAGATTCTACCTAAACTTGATTATTTTTTTGTTTTCGAACATATACTGTGGAAAATTTACGATTTTTATTTAATACCTGTTTTATCATAATTAGAAATTTATTTTTTTCAGGTACAAGAAAAATTGACCCATGTTTAACTTGAGATCCTCGCAAAGCATCTGGAAGTTATGTTCTGGAATAGAAGCATTTTCCAAGGACTTTTTTCAACTAAAAACTAACCAGCTGAGAAAAGCATTAGAGTGCAGGCTTTGCCTGTGGTTTAGCAAAGAAAAATGTTTACGTAAAAGATAAACGCCAATTCGTCAACATTTCTGCGCCAACGCTTAAGCTTAACCGTTCGCTTTTCGTTACAATAACCAAACGTTGATATTTTTTCGCAGGAATTGTTA